ACAGAAATGTTAAGGTTCCATTCATTGTATTTTTGTGAAGCCTTACAGCAAAAAAATAAAACTTCAATTGTATGTTGAAAAACAAAATAAGCAAAAAGAGTATACACACACACACACACACACACACATAATTGCATGTATATTACTTACGGTGGTATCAGCAGCCTCTTGATCATCTTCACAAGCACTGATTGAAATGACCCATCCACCTCTGGTGTTTTTCCAGATGCCAGAGGGAGGACTGTTATCTTCCCACTTCTTCCTATTAATTTGTTTAGCATAAATTCAGACATTTACTAATACACACATAAATTATAATACAATAAAACACGATTTCCAAATGAGAACATACAAAAACACAGTTTTACTTAAATTCACAACCTCCTTAACCATTTAACTAAATAATGGTTGATCTTGTTCAATTTCATTCAACCGCAACTGATGATTTTCTTTTATTCAGAAACAAAAAATTAGTGAGTCACAGTAAATACTTACAGATGTGAGTTGTATACATACGGGAGATCAAGAATGGTTCCACTGTGACATGCATCAACAATGGAATGAAGCTTAACACCTTCTTTGAGGGGAGAGACGATGACGGAGTGGATATCATTGTCGAGAATCATTCCTTCTTTCATAAAATCAGTGGGACAAATTGTTTCGTCAAACCCATCACGCTCATCCTTTCGCAAATCAGGCTGTCGCAACCCATGTCCGGAGAAGTAAAACACCAGTGAGTCACCAGACTCACAGTCCTCCACAAGCCATTGCAACGCGATCTCTATGTTCTTCTTTTTTGGAATTAGACTTGAATCTGTCTCCTCTTCTGCAGCAACTCAGTTTTCTACTCTTTCATTATCATAGATTTGGAGAAGAAGATGATGCAAGGAGAAGGAAGAAAGTAACATACCAGTGAGGACAAGAACATTGTTTTGTTGAAAAGAGAGGTTATTGATCAAGAAATCTCTCATGTTGGCAACATCGTTTAGGGTTCCCTTAAGCTTGTACTTGAACTTCTTGTAACTCACTCCAATAAGCAGAGCTCGCTTTCTTGGTCGACCAGGTGGTGTACGAGATCGATTCAAGAGAGGCGATGGGTTACAATTGAGAGAGACAGTAGTTGCAGAGAGCTTCTGTTTCAGTTTATGACCACAAAATCTGTCGATGGTGCAAGTCACAGTCTTGGCACCTGCCGGTGGTGGTAATGATCTGATCAAAGTTGAGGGAGGAGTAGACACAGAGGGTATAATTGTATTGGTTTGATTGCAACCAGGGCATCGAATTATTGTGTTGTTGGTTTTTGTAGTCACTAGCTGCAATCGTTGTCTGCAATACTTGCACATACTTCGGCTCTCCATTATAGATTAATAAGATTCTCTAATGTACGCCAATGAGATTGGTGGATGTATGAGAAGAATGTTTATTTACATATAAAAAGCTTACATCTATCATCACAAATGGTGGGTTATCAATCCATATATAAACCCAAACATTTCCATACATTATTCTTTTTCTTACTCACTTTAATTACAGAAAAATCCAACTCATTATATCATCTATATCTCTGCTTTTGGTATTATGTTCATCTTTTTGTCCATCAAGAGTCACAGATGATAATTAATACAGAGAAAGTCAGAAGAACCAGATGCCCATCTTTTCCCCCATCAGCCAAAGTCAGTATCAGTTAATCACAAACACATATGCATAAATATATAACCACACACACACATATACATGTATGCTTTGCGGCTTTTGCTTTTCTTTTTAACCATTCAGTACTTCCGATTCTCAGTCCATTTATAAAGTGCGGTCTCTAGAAAGCACCCAACACTGGCATTAGTGATAAAAATTAAGGGGGCAATTTTAAGGATCAGTAGCGAAGTATTTAACTTCGTGGGGGCGATGATAATCAATTTAAAGTTTGATTTAAAATTTTTTAGGCTAGATTAATTTATTAAAAAAAAAGAACATAAAGTTCCAGAATATAGTAAAAATAATGAAATCAGAAAATTTTTAAATATTATTTTTAATATTTTCCAAAAAAACTTATATGCCATTTACACTTCAATTATTCCAACAGTATTTAACTCTTAAAATGATTTCATTGATAAATACATTGCAAAAATACAAAAATTTATGTTAGGAATAAACACATTGCATAAGCACATATTTTAAAGGGAAAGACTTCCATTTTAGTCCCCACATATACATGTATCCTACCATTCTTCTTCTACATGATTCTCCATTCCTCTACTTTCCTCTCAAATAAAAAAAAAAACTGAAATAAAAATGCACTGTCAATTTACCTAGTAATACTAGTTAAAAAGGTACAAGAACATCTAGGAACATGCTTAGTTATTTAAAAAGTGCAAAAATGCACTTAAGTACCAAAAGACTTAAAAATATCCAGAATCCTCAATTCCTCCAATTTGGAGCAAAATAGATTTAAAAGATATTGTACTACAAACTTAATCAATTTACTCCACATATTTGTTAAAAATATATCAAAACATGCAGGAACTTGCACAGTTAACAGAACTGCACAAAAATTTGAATTGATGACTGGAACATTTAAAAACACAACTAAATAACCCCGAAGACCATGATTAGAATTCTCAAAATGACCAAAAAACATACCAAATTCCTCAGAATACTCAGAAATCCCCCTACTTGAAACGCCCAAATGAAGCCAGATCCCATGGTATCCAAAAACAATCATAGATACTTGAAAAACCTTAAAATGCACAAGTGTCTAGAACGAATTGAAGCAACCTAAGCCTATCCAGAATGCCTAAACACACCAGAAGCACCAAGATAGTTACAGCTAACCAAAATGTCCAGAAATAAATCTGAAAATGCTCAAAAATCACTTTCATGCAATGTTTCAAACAAATTTAAAATTGATGAGGAATTCATTTGTGAATCCACATTTAATTTAAGCCGAAAATCATGTAAATTATATTAATACGACAAGAAAAGAATTGAGTACATATCAAATTTCATGTAGAACTGGGACAGTATAATCCAAATTCCATTAATTTTGATAGAATTGAAAATTTATTGTTTCAATTCCTCATAGAATTCTGAATGAAAGCAATAGCTGAGGTGGAGTACTTTACACTTTATTTAAACATCTACCATTTCTTTCAAATAAGCGAGAATATATACAATCAGAAATCGATGTCCGATGCTTAGATAGGGCACATTTACCATGTACATTGAGTAAACATACAATAGTTGCTGAGGTAGTCAAGAAGACAGAAACTTCATCTTTTAATGCTTTCAAGCTTTTTTTGGTTCAGATCAATTTAGCAACATAGAGGAATGAGGAATCAAGAAGCATGAAGCATGAAGCAATAAAGCCTCAAACTTAAGAGATACAATATATTTAAACAAGAGGACCTTTCCTAAAGAACAACATATAGCAGGGAAGACTTACCTCCAAGCTCAAGGTAAGGAGGCCTCCTTGTTTTCACACATGTTGTTAAAATTACCTCCACTATCAAACTGCATTAAGTTGCCCCGAGATTTTTGCTTTGCAGGTAGGACACATATAACCAACTGAATCTGATTGGGTTTCAGGATCAACGTCCTCATGGCTGAACTCCATTCCACACCAGACACACACAGTTGTAAGCTGGCTCCTACCCCTCATATTTAACATGACTTCCTCAGATTCAAACTGAACAGCACAATCATATGCCCCTTCCATCCCCTCATTACCAGCCAAGTCTATCGCCACCTCTGGTAGAGCAAGAGACTCTTGCCCTGTCCCAAAATTGAATTTCAGCTGCTCTATTTCATCTAATCTCAGCTCACCATATCCTGACACATTTTCCGGCTTCCCATCTTCACTCTGCCAATAAGCATAGAAAATCTCAATTAAATCCCCAAAGAAACATAAATTTAAATCTTAACCATCAGTAGAGATGTGGGTAAGGAGAAAAAAAAAGGGGGAAGAGATTCATTTGTAATTTCATCTTCTCTGACGTATTAGGTGGACGGAAAAATTTTTATTGGCTTCTTTTTCTGTACAGTCATTCAAAGAATAAAAGAGGAAGCATAACACCTAGTATACAGATTTTTTTATTTATAGATAAAACCTTCATTAACATAAAATCAGTAGAAGGAAAACAATTTACCCCTAATGGAACAGCGTCAGACAAGAGCAAACCAGTAGCAGAAACAAATTACATTCAAAATCTTATCCGGGAAAGGATGAATTATCCATTGGAATACATAAACTTTTTGTTGGACCAGATAAACGTAATACACCCAGTCAATGGAGCAATCACTAGTGCTGTATAGCATGTAATGGCCACAAAAGAAACCAAAGGGTAATCATCCACCACAAAAGAAAAATAAGTCATTTTTTCTGAAAGCTTGAAAAGAAAAAAAAACTTCTTTTTTTTCTAAAAGAAAAATTTCCACTGATAAAACTGGAGCACATCTCCGTTGGAAACAGGGAGGTGGTTCAAGCAGAAAGGATAATGAGAATTAATGTTCGCACAGATAAAATCCTGGAAACCATTCCTTTTCTTTTGTAAGAAGAACTATGTGCGCTCACACTCATTAGGAGTATTAATCTAGTGGTCAAGGCATTTCAATTAACTGCCATCCACAAGCAAAAACGAAACAGAACAAGCATAATACCTCATGTTTAAGTTCATTATGTGTCTGGAAACAATTTTTGGGTTGCAATACTGGCATTGAACCCAAATTTTCATGGAGTATATTTCCTTCAGAGTTCCCCTGTTCACTCTGTCTCACCATAATTTTAGCTGGTTCAGAATTTTGGCTTCCAGAGCCAAAATTCTCACTGTTACCCTCTTCACTAGGCTTAAGATGCTCCACCATTCTAGCAGTAACTGAATTCACATTATTATCAATATCACAGACATTCTGATTTTCCAATGCTACACGTAGGTGACTTTCAACATCTGTTTTCAGCTCAGCATTGGACTTCCCAATTTCACCAGAGGTTAATGTCACAACATCTTTTCCACCAACCATTTCAACATCTGTTTTCAGCTCAGTGCCAAACTTCCCAATTTCAGCCGATGTTAACATCATAACATCTTTCCCACTAATCATTTGAGAATTACAATTTATCTTATCAGCAGATATGACAATAGAAGTATCCAAAAGAGAATCCACCTTGACATCTACAACATGGCTATCATAATCCATCATTATCTCTTCATCAATGATCATATGCTTGCTATTTCGTGGTACTAGATCTTGATCCAAAGTTCTATCACTCATGTCAGATTCAGTTTCTGGTTCACTGAAAGGAACATTAGAGTTTAGTTCATCCTCAGAATTGGAAGCAGGAAGGTCTTGATTAGGAACAGTAATCAGTTTACCAGGAGTCAATCCACCAGCAAGCTCAATATCAGGCATGGTAGAAGTTTGTAGAATAGAATTCTGAGCAATTTCAATCAAAGCATCCATTTTTGAAATCCTTGTAGGCAACTCATCATTGCATGGAGACTCAATTCTCTTCTGAAGAGCCTGCCTATTAGCTGGTTCCTCGATACCCCTCACATAATTCCTAACATGTATTCCTACATGACCATTGTATCTACGCCTTTCATGAAATGTCTTATGACAAAACTGACATTCAAACTTCCCATCTTTAACTATTACACCATCACCAACTGAAGATCCAAGCCTGTACCTTCTTGTAGTCCTCTGGTGAAAAGACAAAAGATGTTGCAGATATGTGTCTTTATCATCAAATTTCAAGTTGCATTTACGACATTCAAAAAGATCATGTATTTGCACTTCCGCCAGGTTATCAAAACCCAGTAAGGTAATTTCTTTTGCATGTTCATCTGCTTGCCTTTGAGCATTCTCCTCGAGAATAGCATCTGCATGCTGCTGCATGTACCATAAACCTTGTTGAATTGGTTAGGTCATCAAAGAAAACCACTGCAGGACTATTTACTTACTTTTTGAGAAACTATAGTGTGCTCCTGCTCCTGAACATTGTTACCATCACAAATGACCATCTTCTGTAGACCATGACGTCCAAAGTAGGATTGAAGATAAGCAGAAACTTCCTGGCATGATAAAAAATGATGTCCACCAGGACTGGGAAAACATAAAATAAAACAATGAATGAAACTGTGAGAGAGAGAATAAAGTACTGGAAAGGGAAGACCTGATGATACAAGATTTGAACTAGGAAAAGGTACTGACCATAATGATGAATAGTCAAATAATTTTCCTACTGTCCGAGTTTATATCTAACAACTAGTCCACCATCACATCATGTTTGCACTGCCGACAAGCTTATGATAACAAAAGCCTGAAGTTATATCTAAATTGGTTGAAATGACACAGTTTTCAAAACTAGAATGCATTTATATAGGTCACTATGTGCAAATGTGAACACTTTCCAATGGTAGGAAAATCATCTCCAAGGACAAATAACTAGAGATGCAATGGTTCTTCACATAGATAAGCACAGTGAAGTGAGACAAGATCCTTAAAGCAGTTATGCTTCATTTGAAGAACACAAGTTCTCCATCTTTCGAAACTGTAAATTCAGTTTTTCAAGCATGCAATGCTGAGTCGTTCCAGAAGAAGAAAGCTAGGCATTACCGTTCTAGACTAGAAGATCACCTGAAAGAGCAGCATTGCAACACACACAATTTCCTTGTGGGTCACACTGTTAAGCTTCGAAAATCTCAGTGCCAACCAACTTAAGGAAAACATCTATTTAGTTTAAGGAAAAGTGTGTTTAGAATAGTTGTGGAATTAGTCAACAGTGTATCCTATATCCCTTGTTTTCTGTCATCAGTTTTATTTCCCATTATCCCCATTATCTATCACTATCCCATTTTGTTTTAGTTGCCTTAGAAGTAGGAAGTAGCAGATAGTAGGGTTTGTATTTAAAGGATGCAAGTTTAATGAATGGGGGGTCGAAAAAATTGTTGTTCAAGTGTGGTTTATTCTCACCCAAAGAGAAAATATTTGCTGAAAAATTAATTGGTTTCTGACTGAAACCTATCAATTGGTATCAGAGCCATGTCTATTAACAAAAAAAGAATTGAAAATCTGGAAGTCAGCATGGGCAGATTGCAGGACAGCCTAAGCCGGATGGAGGTGAGATTTGCCGACAAGTTCCACCAGATTGAAGACACCCTCAAGCGGCTGACAAACACCTTGCTGTTAAACCGTGAAGGTTCCAGCAGCAACACACCGGACCGGCCTGGCCAGATGCGACCATATTGCAATGAGCCAAAACCATTCACGCAAAGTGTGACTTACATAGCATCCAAAGCAATATCCGATGGGTTTCATCTTTGTGTTGCTTACACGTACGGTGAATCAGCTACACAGAAGGCGTATCCCAATTGTGAAGCTGTTCTTTACAAGCAATTTGACACCGCTTTTGAAGCTATAGCGGTGGCTTGTGGAGCGTGCCGTCTTGACAATTGAGAATTCTTTAGGGGAGAGCCTTAGCAAAAAGCTCGACCTTCTCTGCAAAAAAGAACAGAAAAGCTCGGGAAGGGAGGGAAGGAAACTGAAGGAAAGCACCGGAAAAAAAAAAAAAAAAAAGTATGGGAAGGAAGGGAGGCAGATCGCGTTGGAAGATTGAGAGCTGCATTGCACAGAGAGTTGAGACAAAGAGTTGTGCTGCCAAAAAAAAAATGGAAAACTACAGAAGGCTGCCAGGAACCGGAAATAATACTCTTGAAGAGTGGGGAGTGGATGGCCTTTGACAAGCATTCTCAAGTGGTGATGATGTGGCATTTTTTTTTATTTTTTTTACAAACTACGGATGTAGAGGGGCAATTAAATGTTGCAGCATGGTCTGAAAATTAGACACAGCCTTGGATGAAATTCTGGACGAACTAAAAAAAAATTCAAAGTGCCAAGGAAGATGGCCGAAGAAGATGCCACGAGTCAGGTTGTCTGAACCTTGAGGACAAGGTTCTTGTAAAAGGAAGGAGTGCTGTTAAGCTTCAAAAATCTCAATGCCAACCAACTTAAGGAAAACATGTGTCTAGTTTAAGGAAAAGTGTGTTTAGAATAGTTGTGGAATTAGTCAACAGAGTATCCTATATCCCTTGTTTCCCATCATCAGTTTTATTTCCCATTATCCCCATTATCTACCACTATCCCATTTTGTTTTAGTTGCCTTAGAAGTAGGAAGTAGCAGATAGTAGTTTTTGTATTTAAAGGCTGCTAAGTTTAATGAATGGGGGGTCGAAAAAATTGTTGTTCAAGTGTGGTTTATTCTCACCCAATGCGAAAATATTTACTGAAAAATTAATTGGTTTCTGACTGGGACCTATCACACACTTACCCCCTAAATTAACTTCTTCATATAACCTCAGACTCAATACGAAGACTAATCATTTTTTTCAAGTTATATGAAGATTAATCATGCAAAAAGACAGCAAAATCTCCACACTGAAGTTAGCAAAACTATTTTTCCCTGTCGATATCTTGTTAGAGGTCTTGAACTATTATAAAATCATTTGAGGAAGGCGATCAAGCATTGTAAACCCGGAAAGCTAAAGTGATGGAGTATGTTACATTTCTTTTTTTTTTCTTCTGAGAGAACGCAACATGTGACATTTCACCAGTTATTCTAGAAATTTTCATCTAAACCACTTCCAAGATGTCAGTGTTGAAATCACACGTTTCTTCATGCAGTAAGCAACGCGAATGACAAGAAAGAGTCAGGCAACTTTTGCCGCATGAATGAGCTTCTTAATATCAAACTCTTGTATATTCCATTTAACATAATCCTTTTTTTTTTTGCCATTTTCTTGTATTTTCCTCGTAATCAAACAGGAAGAGAAAAAAATGGGGGAAGAGCATGACAGCACCTTATGTATCTGCGGCAGTAAATCCAGGCCCGACCTTCCTTTCTCTTGAGTCCCAACAAGAGCCTCCAGCCTACTGGCAACACATCCTTGAAAATGCTGGCATCTACAATCTTCCTTTTCCTCCTCCTGCTGCACCACTGGCCACCCAGATCCCTCAAAAACCCCAATAGCTGCTCCTCACTTACCATCCCTTCCGTCCTCTTCCTCAACTCCTCTCCATACGGATCTTCCAAATCAGCCAAAGCTACCAAATCGACGGCCACGCCATTTTTATTCACAATATCCAAACTCTTCTCTCTTTCGTCCAGGATCACCTTAGGCTTGGGCTTCCTCCCTTTCTTCTTTTTCCTTTCGCCTCCGCTACCAACACCCACTTCGGCATCACGGAAATTGAAGGAATCATCAGGAGCCAAAGCGGAAAAGGGAACCGGCGGAGTGTAATCAATGTCAAGGTCGTAAAATTCCGGGAGGCTCCTCAGTGAGTGCTTGAGAGAAGCAATTATAGAGCGGTTCTCGTGGAATTCGGGGTCATCAGGGACGGATGAAGGTTTCGACGAAGGAAAGAGGCCGGCGACGCGGTGCCGGTGGTGGTGGTGATGATGGTGCGAGGGGGAGGAAGGGCGAGAGCGAGTAAAGATCTGGCGACGGGAACCGGCGCTTTCATTGAAGGTGGAAGGGTCGATGGAAGGAATAACGAGATCATCAGTGCGGCAGACGTCAATGGCGGAAGGGGAGCAGAGAGAAAGTGCTCGTAGCTCGGACTGAGTGAAGGTAGCCATGTCTATTGAAGGCAAGGAGTCTAGGGTTAGGGTTACGGATACTGGTGAGGGTTCCGGTTTTGCAGAGAGAGTAGCCATGTCCAGTAGCGGAGGCTGAGAGTGATGTGAGGTGTGGGGGTATAGTCTACTGGTAGCAGCAAGGTACCTCTTTTCACTTTGCTTTTTTCCTGAACTGCTCCCAGACTTCAATTCTTATTTTTAGCCGTTAGATCAACTACGAAGCATCCTAGCCATCTATTTGAATTTCAATTTTAACAAAAAAGTAGTATTCGGATTTTAAATTTAATTTAATGTTAATAATTTAATATTTGTTTTTAATAAATTGAAAAACTTTAACCTATCTAGGTAAATATAAATTTAATAAAGATAATGAAAATGATTTATTTTTAATAAATTAACTAGAAATTTAACTTGCCTAAGTAATTGTAATTTTGATAAAAAGTAAAGCATAGAGTAATCTTATTTTTAACAATTTTTATAAAAACAAGTAACTTATAAATAATTTAAAATGCATTATAAAAACAGTCATGGTTTAAATTATATATTTTTAATAATTAATAAGATACTCGACATGAATTGTTTTATTATTTAATTTTTTAATTTTTTTTATATTAATATTATTTATTTTAGTAGAACTTATATAATATGTAATATCTCATCACAATAATTTTAGTAAATAATTTTTATTTATATTAAAATCGTTACTAATCGAAATATAGGGGTGAGACAAAACTTGATTTAAAATCTGACTAGTTGAGTTAATTTCGAATGGGTTTTATCAATTTTCTAACACTAGAAGATACCTTACAGGTCATCTTATAGTATTATTTGTCTAGATTTATAAAGACTTTAATACTTTTTTTTGTTGATAATACCAAAATAATAGTAAAGTTATTTTGATTGAAGATATAATAAAAAAAATTAGTGATTCAAATATTATTATTTTAAAATCTATTTAACACATTTCACTCTCGTATTAAGAACAATATAATTCACTGATAATAAAAAGTTTAATAAAGAAAAAATGTCTAAGTATGAAGAAAATAGAAATAATGGATATAGGTTTTTCAAAGAATTGCACCATTACAAAAACTTATGTTATGTCATTTTTTTGTTTAGTTTGTTATTAAATATTATTATAATTTTAATGTATATATAAAGTGGATCACATATTCTCTTTTCCAATCGTTTATATTGAAAATCGGATCCTAATCATAATTGTAAAAGACTTGAGTACTACCTGTAACACCCAACTTTTCTTTTTTTCTTAATTAATTATTATTATTATTTTATCTATAAATATAATTATTATTTATATAATTTTAATTTAATTTATATAATTTTAATTTAATTTAATAAAAATAATAATAATAATAATAAAAAAGGTAAAAAAAATTAGTTAGGGATTTAATTAAAAATAATTTTGGAGAAAATGAGTAAAAATTTGGATTCTGTTGGTATTTTTTTTTAAAAAAATTAGAAACTGATGGTCAAAATGCAATTTAAAAAAGTTACGCCATGTCAGCTCCCCGATCAGCAACCTCGACCAACCAGGACGCGCCAGGTGGCAGAGATGCTGACGCAGGAGGCCACGCGAGGGGGAGCCACATGGGCGATCCGCGTGCGCGCGCACGGACGGCTGAGATCCGTTCCCGCGTGCACGGACGGCCCAAATAAAAAACGCGCACAGACGGCATAGATTGCATCGCGCACGGACGACTCAGATTGAATCGTACACGGACAGCTCAGATTGAATCGCGATGAACGGTCCAGATTCGCTCCCTATTTAATTGTGATCGAACGGTTTAAATTAAAAGTGATGGATTACCCATATCAAAAACGGATGAGTATAAATAACCTCATCCGCACCCAAACCCAAACCCTAGCCACCAGAGCCCCTCGCCGGAGAAGACAGCCCAGCCGCCGGGGAGCCGACCGCCGCCACCCGTTGCTGTACCGGAGCAATTTCCGACCACCAAACGAGGTAAAAATTTCTTCTATTGCACGAAATTAATTTTTAAATGCACCCATGGCCAAATTGAAGTGAAAGAACTGGCCGATTGGCAGAAAAACGCTGCCAAAGCTCGGCGCCGCTGCCGCGGGGTGTTTCGAAAAATGCCTCCGATGAGGCCATTCCTGATTCCCGTTCGATGTGATTTTTCCACCGTTGTGACCACCGTTTCCTTCTCTATAGGTTGACCGAAGCAAAACACCAAACCGCAACATGAGTCAGAGGAGTCGCCGCACTAGAGAGCCCCACCGCCGGTGAGTTTCGATTTTTTGCATTTTTTGGGCCCACCGAGGGCCCTAAGTGTGTTTTCTCACAGGAACCAGTGCAAGTTCGGCTGAATTCGGCTGAAAACAGCCAACCGAGGTAGATTGCCGTTGCAGGCGGCGGCGCCGTCATCGGAGCACGGCGGAGCCGCCGTGCTGGAATTCTGAAATTTGCCGAGTAGGCCCTGGGTCTAATTTTTGAGTTTATTTAGGACACTTGTAGGTACCGTAAGTGCGTTTCAGTTCCCGAAGAAAAATTCAAGGAACTCAGGTACCGCCCGTAGACGTAGTAACCATCTAGTTTTTGGCGTGGACAGGATATTTGAGATGTTAGAAAGACTCATTACGGCCCAACAGGGCCGAGAGGAGGGGAAGGAGCTACCTAACCCTCCCCCGCTGCCACAGGTTGAACCACCACTCCAGCGAGAGGATCCTGAGCCACCCCGGTACGACCCTGCTCCTCCACAGTACCACCTAGTACCATTGCCACAGTATAATCCGATGCCCCTGCCGTATCAACAAGTACCACCACAGGGCCCCCCAGTCTACCATTAGCCTGCCCCAGTCCCTTTTCCACGGGACCCAGTTCCTCCCATGATTGACCCGGGCTACATAGAGAGGTACAAGAGACTAAACCCATTCATTTTTCCAGGGGGACCCTCTTTTGAAGATGCTGAGTACTGGTTGGCAGAGACAGAGAAGGTCTTCAAGACCTTAGGGGTGACTTCTGAGCAGAATGTTACCCTTGCAACCTACATGCTAGTGGGAGAAGCAGATCGCTGGTGGAAACTCAAGCTGACCACCTTGCCCGTTCTAGTTACTTGGGAACAGTTCCTAGTAGCCTTTCATGCAGAGTACCTCCTAGAGCATCTCCGACATCTGAAGGAGATGGAGTTCGCCCACTTGATTCAGGGGAACATGACTGTGTTAGAATATGCTCGTAAGTCCTAGA